TCTTTCCCCAGTTAAATAACCAGAACATGAACCACATATCATATAAACATGTTAGCTTTGTCAATTTTAATTTTATAAACTGAATTGTTTAGAAAAAACTGATTTTTAAAATATGCATATTGTATAGTACATCCTGCAACCATATGATGCTAAGAGTCTGTACATATGACATGCTACATACCATAAAACTATATAAGCTAGCCCAGAAGTTAATTAGTTTTTACACTACTCTGCCAAATTTTACTGAATGTGATGCGTCTCCTCATATCAAATATCAGTCCATCTCTCTGTAGATGGCATTCCTTTGAAATTAGGTACTTAAAGGGTACTATATTGAACCCAGTCTTAATTCAGCAAAACTCTATCTTAAATTGTAGCTCTTCAATATAGCATAACTATATTTCATTTATATATAAATATGTACAGCCCCTAAGTTATTAAAGCTTTAAACAGTATCATAAAACAGCATGCAGTTAACTTCACATTTTACATCATCAGTATAGACATCACATACAAATAGTAATGGAAACTGAATGAAAAAAAAAAATGCCTAAAATTTCCTAAACCTTACTCCTTAACTTGATGCTCTTAGTCTTCTATTAAACAGAAGATTATGTCTGTAGGTAAACAGTATGTCTCAGTCATCATCCTGTTAAGGTGAATTTCACAGAATGACTTGTGGGAATAAGAGGCGAGTGTGTGATATTAAGGACTCATATAGGAAGACATCTTGCCACGTTTCTTATGGAAATATCTGCAACACAAAACTCAATGCTACATCTGATTTAGCCAGCTGGGGGCACTGTTGTGCAATTCATGCTTTACAGATTCACTCTAAAAACCTAAAAATAGTCCACAGATCCATTAAAAAATGTCTCTATTTTCAAAGATGTAAAAGAAAAACAAAACATAGAAAAGGGGGTGGAAACAGGAACAGTGACATTCGATAATGGGTAAAGCCCATACTTTGGCACTCCTGTCAAAAAAAGGTCATTCTGATAGAGATTCAGATTGCGTTGGTATTCCCTGATCTTCAGACTCTGGCCTTGTAGATTCAAAATATTCTGATTTGAAAGATAAGAACTAAAAAAATGAATATATATTAGCATTAAATAAATGTAAATACATTAAATTCTATAAACGAGTGACTTGCTAGAGTTTGTTTGTTGTTTTTTTTAAAACTTTTCTTTTATTGTTTTATAGACAGACGCTTCTATTTCTGGCTCTGCCATTGGCCTGCTGGGTGACATTCAGCAAGTTGCTTTAAATTTATGCCTCAGTTTCTCCATCTGCAAAATTAACCCCCTTTTTAAAGTGCTATGATATCTATTGATGAAACGCACCGAACAATGAGCTAGGTGTTACTAAAAAGACTGGTCAGCATACAGTGAAGAGATCTCCTATGTCGTCTTCCTTTACAATGGCTCAAACTTTGTCAGCATCAACCATGTTTCAATGCACTTTTAAAACTGGAGTGTAAATAGGTTTACTCAAACTAACACAACAGGAAGTTAATGGTTAGAACAGGGATTGGCAACTTACAGCCTGGGCCAGAACTGGGCCGTGGTGTCTGGGACCGGCAGCAGGGGCACTTCCTGCACCCTGCAGAGTGCCCTGAGTACAAGCATCCTCTAAGCAGTGTCCCCACAGGTCACCACCTCAGATCTCCTGCTCTGTGCCAAGGGTTGTTCCCTCACCCACTACTGCACCCTGCAACAACACTCACCATTGAATTCAGGGTTGGGGATGGAAGTCTGCAACAACTGCTGGTGAGGGTAAGTAGAGGCTGCAGTGTAGGGGGACGTAAGAACAGCCTGTGGCACAGAGCAGGGTGGGTTCAGGTGCTGTGGAAGGGATTATATTGTTGGTCCATGGCAATAGCTGGGTTACAAGTGGCAGCCCACCTGATCTCTAGGCAGCAGCTGATCCCTGGGTTAAGGGATAGATGAGGAGCAACCATAAGGAGTCTACAAAAAGTTACAAGTAATAATATATATCATTTGCAGGCTTTATGGCTGATATGTCAACATAAAAGTCTTGAATTATTGATGTAGCTTCTCTTTCTCAAGTATAACCACACACACACACACACACACACACACACACACACACACACACACACACACACACACACACACACACACACACACACACACACAGAGCCAGACAAATGTCTCAACTTACAGGAGCCAGCTCAGCCTCCTCTTCTGTGAAGTCAATGTGACGCTTGGCCTGCTTCATAGGATGTCCCCCAGAAACATTATGCTGTGAAAATGGGGGAATGGGGAAGAAGAGAGGCAAAATGAAAGAAAAAAAAACAAAAGGAAGGAGGAAAAAGGCACCATTTATTTCCATGCAGGAAAAGGGGGAAGGAACAGTCATGTGAACCATTAAAGAAAAAGAAATGAAATATAACTACAATGAGGAACATGCAGCATCTCAGCTCCCGCCCCATTATCATGCAAATTGATATATGATTTTTAAAGGTAAGAACAGACTTTGGGTTTTAACTTCTGCATCCTCTCAAAACAAGGGAACAACATATTCGTGTATCACAATATATATTTTAACCTTCAACAAAACAAGAATCACAAATTTCTGATGAAGTACAGTTTATTTCTATTCATTGTCTGTTGTTACTGCTTCTTTTTCAGCACCGCTAAAACAGATCAAGAAATGATGCACAAGATACATTAATAGTGGGTTTCTCCCTGTGGTATACAGTCACCAAACACACACACACACACACTTATTTTTTTCACCATATCATGGTCACATACTTACATATTTACTATATATATATATATATATATATATATATAGTAAATATGTAAGTATGTGACCATGATATATAGACTCTTATGTATCAGTATATTTACACCATGGTGCCATTTCCTACCTTTGCAAGCAGGAACAGTTATTTCAGGTTTTTTATTCCATCTTTACTTTACAGAACAAAGTATTTCCACTGGCCCTAACACTATTCTGTAGCACTTTTGAACAACTCCAAATAAATAAAGCTTTTCAGAGAAATGTGCCCTTCTTTCCTTAACCCTCATTTTAAAATAAAGGGGAAAGGGTTAAATGTGCTTGAGGCCCCAGAACATGAATCATTTTAAAGGCGGGAAATCCATCAGGGTTTAAAAACTGCTTTAGACTACTGAAAATCAGTATTTGTTGCTTTTCCTAAAAGATCCTTAAGTATTAGACTTGTTAAGCTTCCTAGTTAAAAGCACAGAAAATTCTGTCCTTACTGGACATGTTCCAGTCTGGCAGGTCCTACATGTGACTGGACTTCACGTGTTATTCCCACAAAGCAACTGAGAATGCTTCCAGTCCAGAGCAGGGGAAGTCAGCAGGATTTCCTCGTGGAACTCCTATAAGCAGCAGGCCAGAGCAGGCTTGTCTACATAGTGGCAGTCATGGGTTCCAATGAAGACAGGGTTGAGTTCACACCACCCATGCACCAGCTGATGCACTCAAATGAACTTTAGTTAAAGTCTCCCCGCTGCCATTTTCCAGTGTGGGGATGCTGATACACATGATACTGGAGTCTGCTGGCGCATGGTAATTACCATGTGCCAGCAGACTTGATTAATCCTGTCTGCTCTGATGTGCTGTAATACAGCGGGTCAGAGCAGCCTCGATGCCTGTGTCCTAAAAGCTGAACCTTTGGTTCAGCCTACCTAAAACAAGAACTTAAATGTACCTGGGTCTATGGCACTGCAGCTCAACAAAGCAGCCTCCTAAACATCTAGTACTGTCAGGTCTGTAATTCTGCTAAAAAAAACCCCAAAACCTTCCATTTCAGTTTAAGTTAAATCAGTGTTTATTATCCTACCTGCTAACATTAACCAATATCATGTACAGAAATGACAGAGTGGCAAGGCAAAAAGGAACGACAACTTCTAATTCTAAACTGTCCATTCAGAAAGTGGAAGTTTCATTTCCTGGCATCAAGCTCCTCTATAAATTTCACAAAGCTCCATTTTTTTTCCCTATAAAGTTATATGGCAGGACATGTGGTTTAAAGAAAACTAAAGGAATTCCTTACACATTCTAGAATGTATTGCTCAGCTGCCCTGTCCTTCATTTTGGTCATCTGTTCCAAATTTGGTTTCTGGCAATGTGAGGACTAAGAATGAACAAATAATCTGTTGCTGATTTTGTATAGATACATCTCTCTCCTCTCTCCCCCAATACAAATTGCACTTTAGTCAACATTTAAATTCCAACAGTTTCAAGAAACTGATATATAAAACAGGAAAATATTTTATCATCATGTATTTTCAAGCCTTCTATTAATTAATCTTAGCTTTTACAGAGAATTTTCAGAGTGATGTGCCTAACCACCTTCAGGTGCCTTATACAGACATCTTTTGATATCATAATATAGCCAATCCCATTTCTCTGCTTCTGTGAAGGTTTGGTTCCTTGATCCAAGCCTGCCTTCCCTGAAGTATATATTGCGTAGTTCTTCTTGGAAACACGATTCATATGGAGGGCCTTTCTTTGTTTTAAGAGAACTTCTGGGGCTTAGACTTCTGTTTGACTATTCATTTCACTTACCTGCGTTATGACTACAAAAAAATATACATCTGAACATACTGAAACTATTTTTAGTAGAAAGCCTTTTTTGTATCAAGACACTTAAATCTGTTATGAAAATGGATTCCTCACAATTGGAGAGCTCATAATCTATTTTTGATATATTACCCAGATCATCTGGATAGAAGAACTTGGATTTATAAGGAAAGGACTATTTGTATTTATACAGTACACTGTTCCAAATTGTCATCTTAATTGATAGGAGTTTGGGAAAAAGGAAAAGTGATTTCTCTGACTGAGACATAATGGAGTAAAACGTCAGAATGTTTAGAAAGGTCACTTTACTGGGGACAACAGTCATATTAATATTAAATGCTACTCCATTGTCCTTAACATCATTAATCAAAAATTGTTATGCACTCACTTGGATTCAGCTCAGCTAACTACTACAACTATTAATTTATATAATCTCTGTGCAACAGGAAAAAGCCTATAATTTAACTAGCCTAATTAGAAGTTAAGACTTGAGTTGGGCATCTTCATCCTAAAAGGTGAAAGAGTTGACAACAAGTTTAACAACTGCTTAAAATCTCTACAAGAGCATGGAAGGAAGAGAATAAGCACAATAAGCACAGCTGTATTTGAATTTTTATGAGGCACTCAGATACCGCCGTGATGACCGTCATAGATGTTTTCGTAACTGAACAGAAAGGTATCTCAGTACTGATTTGCATCACTGACGAGGAACTCTTGGCTCTTAAGAAATGGCTGTAGATGTGGACCAATTAATCTGGGATAGCAGAAAAGTCTGCCTGTTCCACCTCAGCATATACGAAGTGTTCCATCTTAGGTTTTAGAGGAAGCTGTTCACCTGTTTTCAAACTTTCTATATTTTTTCCAACAACATGATGTGTACTAACATGTCAATGCTGAATCAGGATTTTGTTAGTTTCAAGAATAAACATGTTTTTATTTCCCTTTCTTACTCCTCTTTGTAGTTTTTAATGGATATAAAAAGAAGCAATTTAAGGTGAGAGAGAAATAGTCCAGAATGTTGCCTCCTAAACATTTTAATGTTGCAGAAGTGCTAATATTTATCCCTAAAAATGAATACAGTGAAAATATAGTTCATTTTCTAGCAAACAGTATACTAAAGAATGTTTACTTTGGAAGTCAAATGCAAACTTCCTTTGTTAATATCAGTTTCGCAAGCCAGTTGTGATAAAGACGTAACTTTTTTTTTTATTTAACTGGAAAGATGCCACTTCCATTAGCAGTGCACATTCTAAAGCTGAAGTAGACAATTTGTTCAGTGCCATCTCAAAATGAAACAATGTCACCTACTGAATCCAATTCACTCATCAAGGAAGTTTTCCTGGGAGACTTCCAATGCAAGTACAGACCCAAAAAGAGCCTCCCTAGCTTCTGTGATCTGAGACATATCAAAGGACCATGGCTGCAAGCATGGAAACAAAAATAGGTAACGTGGATATTAAAGATGAACAGTTAACAATAATTAGGATATTAAACATGAAAATATTAATTGAATCACCAAGGCATTGCAGCAGTTCAACTGTAACACTATTCATTAAACAGGTGGAAAGAAAGAAGGTATAGTTAGGCTTCCAGAGCTATGCACCGACACCAAAACAAGGTTCAATTTCTGTAAATCACAAAGTACCATGAATTAAAGGAAAATGATTCATTTTTAAATCCATTTGCAATCATTTCAAGTTTTGACAGTATTCCTGTAAGACAGTCTATGAAGTAGTGAGACCCTGTTTCAATACATCTCCAAGTTTCACTTCCTTTTCCATTTTACTTCACATCTAAAATCCTTCAAATCCCTCACAGTAGTTCTCTTCCCATAAAATCCTTACATTTCTCTTTAAAACAAAAATTAAATTCTCAGTAATGAAAATTCTTCAGAAAGGGCTTCTTTCATAAGCTACCTTATGGGTAGCAAATCATACAAAAAGACTGTAGTATTGGTCTGAATTAACTACTTGTGATGAATAGCTAAGGTATTTGAATATCACAATGCATAAAACAAGTTCCTGAACGCATCAATATGTAATTTTTTATCTTGAACACATTTTGAATAAAATCTTGGCATGGAAGTCTCATTTTATTTTTATTTCGGCAGTATTTGAAAACTGGACTGTTGATATTTTTACTGCCAACAAATCTGAACGCCAGAATAACGTTTCAGGATGATGGATGCGCACAATTTTCCTCTACAGCTGAATACATATATTTTAGACACACACACACACACACACACACACTTTTTCAAACATAGAGGAATCTCTCTCTCTCTCAAACAATTTGTGACAAACTGTTCAAGCGGGATGGGGAGAGATGGATAGAAGGAGGCTTTCAATGCCATGTCTTATACTTAAGTCTTCAAAGTTGCGAAACGTTATTTCTAAAAAAAATAATGGGAAGCATCTTAAAATACTGGCAACCCCCACTTAACACTGTTTCGCTTAGCAGTATTTCACTATAATGCTCATTTTAAATTTATACCTGATTTCACTTAGCGCTCAGCAAGTTTCATTATAAAGCTCATGGTTGCTAAATTTGGTCATTAAAAACTATTGTGATCACCATCTTGGGTCGTCAAATACTTTTGGTTTCACTTAATGCTGGGTTTTTCAGGAACCAATTAACAGTGCTAAGCGGAGGTTCCTTGTACACGTTCCTTGGTGTACAAA